TACCGTCTCCTGTATGTAGCCACCTCTCGTTTAGTTCTTGTAGTGTTTACTAGATGGTGGTACTTGTAGCTGATGATGAAAACATGCAAGATGTTATAAACTAGAAAGCGGTACTTGTAGTTGATGAAAGACGCGAGATCTTATAAAATAGGAATGATGTCACATATGGCGCGTGTCATTGGTTGAAGGCAATCGTTCAATTTAGTGCGGCGACGTACGCTAGGGGGAGCGTTGTAATAAAATCCGTTCGCTGTTGGCGCGCGCTCGGAGTCGCCGGATGGATAAGGCTGCACAGCGGAGAGAGCGCAAGGCGGCAGCAGCGCGCGCTCGCAGACAGAATCCTGATGTGCGAGCGCGCGAGGCAAGGGACATCGCAAGCCATCCATTGTCTAAGAACAAATAAAAGTTGATTTGTGTATATACACACACAGCGTTTCTCACGTCTTTACATGATGATCGACTGGGCGAATTACACGGAAGATTCACAGTTCACCGATGAATCCCTCCGGAGCTTCGCCCATTCATCATCATTCACCCCGTGAATATGCCGTAATTTTTTCGACATAATAAAACTAGAAGTGGGACTTCTTATCTACAAGAGTATCGTTAGCAACATAGAGGAATACTATAGCATTAGTGAGAGGGTGGCAAATATCATAGTTACGTTTACGAAAAGGTACAAAATGAAGGTGGTATAGGCCTATGCGATTAAATCGAGCCGTGGTGATAATATGGTTGAACATTTCTACGAAGACGTACAGTCAGCAATTAGTAAAGACACAGTATACTCTATTGATGGGCAACTGTAATGTCAAAGTAGGCATGAAACAGGCCGGATACCATGCAGTAGGCGAATATTGCGTCGGCTCTAAGAATATCAGGAGAGAGTTATTACCTGAGTTCACAGAACGCATTAATTCACGAATCTTGAATGCCTTCTACAGAAAACTGGCAGTGGATGTTGTGGGGTCCTAATGGCAACGCTAAAAATGAAATAGACTTCATTTTGTGTGCACACCCAGGCATTGTACAAGATGTAAAGTTAGTTTACAAGATCCGATGCAGAGGCCATAGAATGGTGGGAGCTCGAACTGAAGTAGACTTAATAAAGCGAAGGAATTAACTGATACTGAATAAGCTAATTAATGAGCTCGTTGTGAGAGGTAAGTTACAAGAATTCAGAGTTTCGCTTCAAAATATATTCGCAGCTCTAAACGAGTGTTGACACAACTAAGGATAACCTGACTATAGTAAGTATAATAAAGGAGTGTGTAATAGAAGTTGGAGGTGCAGTCACTAGACAGGACACTAGCAAACTATCCCAAAAGACTAAACATCTCATTAAGAGACGAGAAACCAGAAAAGCCTCAAATGCAGCAGACAAAATAGAGTTAAAGCTTTCGAAGTTAATCAATAGGCGTAAGGTAGCCGAAATTAGAAGGTCTAACATGACGAGAATCGAGCATGCGGTAAAAAAGCGGAAGGAGCTTGAAATAGGTGAAGGCAAGCTTGATAATAGGCAAAAATCTGATGTATGCATTGGGGAACAAGGATTGATTGATTGATATGTGGAGTTTAACGTCCTAAAACCACCGTTTGATTATGAGAGACGCCGTAGTGGAGGTCACCGGAGATTTCGACCGCCTGGGGTTCTTTAACGTGCGCACAAATCTGAGCACACGGGCCTACAACATTTCCGCCTCCACCGGAAATGCACCTGCCGCAACCTGGATTCGATCCCGCGACCTGCGGGTCAGCAGCCGAGTATCTTAGCCACTAGACTGCTGCGGCAGGGCGACGAGGAACAAGGAAGGCAAAGTCACAACCAATATGGGTATGATAGTCGAGATGTCGGAGGAATACTACAAAGAGCTGCACAGATGTCGAAATAACCAGCATGCTATCGTAAGAAGCAATAGTAGCCAAGACGAATTAAGCATCCTACCAGTAACGATACGGGAACTAAGTAAAGTCCTAGAAGGAATGCAAAGAGGCAAATCCGCTCGTGAGGATCACATAACAACATAACTGCTGAAAGGTTGCGGAGAGATCGTGTTAGAAAAACCAGCCACCTTATATACGAAGTGTCTCTTGGCGAGAAGGGCATCAGAATTTTGATAAAACGCTAACATAATCTTCGTCTATAAGAAAATAGATGCCAAGGACTTGAACAATCACAGGCTGATCAGCTTACTGCACGTGCTCTACAAGCTATTTACAAAAAGAATAGCTAATAGAATTAAGGCAACATTAGAAATAAATTAACCAAAAGAACAAGTAGTATTTCGTACGGGGTAATTCACAATAGACCATATTCATACTATAAATCAGGTTATAGAGAAATGCACGGAATACAAGCAAACCCAATACACAACTTCCATAGATTACGAGAAGGCGTTTGGATTCTCTGCAGAAACTACAGAATAAGGGCATCGATAAACCCCGAGTAAACATACTGGAAGAAATCTATGGCGGATCCACAGGTGATTGATTGATTAAAACTTTGTTTTTGTCCTGAGAAGACGCAGGGGAGACCCGGCGCCACCCGGCTAATCCCACGTTGGGACCGTCAAGCCGAGCTTGGCGGCCCGTTCACGGGCACTCTGGACGGCCAGGGTTTGATCCTTAAGTTCGGGGCTGCATAAGAGCGCAGCCCACCTGTCCTCGCTGAGGGCGGGGCCGATGGCTTCACATTCCCACAACACATGATTGAATGTGGCTAACAGTCCAAAAGCGGGGCAATCCACACTTGGATACCGTTCAGGGTAGATGGCAAGAAGAACCGCAAGGCTAGGATACGCACTCACTTGCAATAGTCTTAGGGTGACTGCCTGCGCCCTGCACAAGGCCGGGTGTGGGAGACGGAATACCCTTCTTGACAAATAGAAGTGCTTTGTTATTTCGTTGAACGTAAGTAAGGGTTCCCAGCGAGGCAGAGGGACTGTGGAAGCGGCGCGGTCAGTGAGTCCTCGCGCGGCCTCGTGTGCGCCCTCGTTCGGGTTAGAGGTAGAGCCCTCAATCGACCTCAGGTGAGCGGGAAACCAAGTGAGAGAATGGGGCGTGATACTCTTGACGCTTTGGAGAATGTGGAGGGTCTGAGGGGCTACCATCCAGGTTTCGTAGGCTTTGATAGCCGCCTTGGAGTCGCTGTATATTGACTCTCTGCGACTATCTAGCATAGCCAGCGCGATTGCAACCTGTTCGGCTATCACGGGCTTCGATGTGCGTACTGTGGCGGAGCAAGTGAGCCTGGAACTTGAGTCGGCGATGGAAACAGTGAATGCCTCTTGTTGGACATATGGCGCAGCATCCACAAAGCTTGCATCAGTGGGGTTGTTACGGACGTGCTCGAGCAGAGCTCTACCCCTGGCCCTACGCCGACCGATGTTGTGCGCAGGGTGCATATTGCGGGGAATGGGTGCGATGCGCAGTTGAGACCTGATGTTTCTTGGAATCTGAATGGAATCGGGGCACTGGTAAATAGAGTTGAGGCCCAAATCACCGAGTATCTTGCGGCCCGATTTGGTTCCGGAAAGCCTGAGCAGCTGTGAGCGCTCTTGGGCCTCGATTATCTCTTCGAGTGTATTGTGAACACCGAGCTTGAAAAGGTTTTCAGTGCGAGTGCTTACAGGCAAGCCGAGCGCGAGCTTGAAGACCTTTCTTATGAGGGAATTGAGCTTACTTCTCTCTGCAACATGCCAATTATACATGGCCGCCGAGTACGAAAAGTGGCAGAGCACAAACGCATGTATTATGCGGATGAGATTGTGTTCCTTGATTCCGCGGTGTCTGTTGGTGATCCTCCGGATGAGGCCGAGAGCACTTTCCGTCTTGGTAGTAATCTGTCTCAGTGCAGCTCCGTTAGCGCCGTTGGACTCGATATACATTCCCGATATTCGGAGCGAATCCACTCTGGGCACTGCGGACCCGTCACTAGTGAAGAGCCGTATTTCACTTTGAGACGCAGGTTTCCAGTCACGGTGGCCGCCGCCTCGGGATCTTTTCTTGTAGAGCAGAAGTTCAGATTTCGATGGGAAGCACCTGAGACCGGTGGGACGGAGGAACCGTTCGGTCACGTCGACTGCGTGCGGCATGGCTTCCTCAACTTGACCATCGCTCCCGCCGGTGCACCAGATAGTTATATCATCTGCGTAGATGGTATGATTGATTCCTTGAATCTTCGCGAGTTCCTTGGAGAGCCCGATCATCACGATGTTAAATAGTGTTGGTGAAATAATTGAGCCCTGAGGCGTGCCGCGTGAACCGAAGTTGATCTCTCGTGAGAAGTACCCTTGGATCTTGAGCTTGGTAGTTCTCTGGTAAAGAAAGGATCTCATGAAGTCGTAGACCCTCTTCCCTAGGCCTGGGCTGGCAATAGACTGGAGAATGAATTCGTGAGAAACGTTGTCGAAAGCCTTCTCCAGGTTTAATTCAAGGATGGCTCTGGTATCTCCTGTGCTCCGGTAGAGGATCTGATGCTTTATCAGCTTCTTGGCATCCTGTGTCGAGAGACCAGCTCTGAAATCAATCATATTGTGTTTATACATGTCATTGGTCTCAAGGTGCACCTTGAGTCGGTTCAGAAGGGCGTGCTCTGCGACCTTACCGATACAGGAAGTTAAGGAAATCGGTCTTAGATTATCTATTCCTGGTGCTTTACCAGGTTTCTGGATTAGAACTTTGTAGGCCGTCTTCCATTTTGCGGGAACCTCCCCACTTCGCCACACCTCATTAACCTTTTCCGTAAGGAATTCGATGGAGTCATCATCAAGGTTCTTGAGCATCTTATTGGTTATGCCATCAGGGCCAGGGGCGGATTTGGCATTTAGGGAAAAGAGAGCCTGCCGTATCTCGGCCACAGTATAGTCCTGGTCCAACTCCGGCACGTCGCACCCCACGTAGTCCGGAAACTGTGTGGGTGCAGAGCTATCCGCGACTCGCAGATACCTGTCTATAAGCTTGGTGACAACCAATTCGTCCGGGGTAGAGTCAGTAGCAAGATGGATGGCTTGCGCGAGGGATCACCTCTAACTGTACATGGTGCTGCCCTGATCGAGAAGGTGTTTGAGAAGACCCCAGCTCTTCCTAGATCTCAGCTGACCCTCGATGCTCTCACAGAGCTCATGCCATTGTTGTTTACACAAGGTTTTGCAGTGCTCCTCGATCGCCCTGTTAACCTCGGAAACCTTCTTGCGGAGCCTCCTGTTATGCTTCTGTCCCTTCCACCTCGTGAGTAGGGCTTGCTTGGCTTCTAGTAGGTGTGCCCACCTGCTGTCCATGTTTTAGACATCGAGGTCAGTGACGACCTCCTTGGTCGCTGGTATCCACAGGTACCATAATCCTCCATAATAAAGATACAGAATCCCAATAAAGAAGAGTGTAAGGCAGGGAAACGTGAGCTCTCCAATGCTATTCACCGCTTGTTGCAGGGGGTTCTCAGGGCATTAGATTGGGAAAAGTTAGCGGCAAGAGGTAATGGAGAGTACCTTAGTAACCTGCGATTCGCGGATGACATTGCTTTGATGAGGAACTCAGCAGACTAATTACAGCTCATAATTATATAACTGAACAGGGAAAGCTGAAGAGTAGGTCTACAATTTAAAAGGCACGAAACGTAAGTAATGTGCAACAGTCTCGCCAAGAAACAGTGCTTTGTGATAAGTGCAGATACCTATGATGATGTAAGGGAATGTGCGTGCTTATGACCCGCAGTAACTGTGAACCAGAACCACGAGAGTGAAGTAAGTAGAATAATAGGGATAATTAGGATCACGTTCGGCATGCATTCTGAAATCATGAATGGTGATCTACCACTAACCCTGAAGAGGAAGGTACATAAGAGCCGCATCTTGCCGGAACTTAGCTAAGGAGTGGGAACCTGGAGGCTTATAAAGAGTGTTTAGCTTAAAATGAGGATGACGCAGTGATCGATGGAAAGGAAAATGATTGGTGAAACCTTAAAAGACAAGCAGAGAAGAAGTGGTTCAGGGAAGAAACCGGTGTTTAGAATATTGTAGTTGAAATCAAGAAGAAGAAATGGGCATGGGGCGGGCACGTAGGGTGGAGGCCGGATAACCGCTGGTCAGTAAGGCTGTAGCTGACTGAATTCCCAGAGATGGCAAGCGCGTGAGGGGGAGATGGAAAGTTAAGTGGGTCGATGAGATTAAAAAGTTTGCAGGTATAACGTGGAAGCAGAAAGCACAAGACCGGAATGTTTAATGGATCATGGGGGAGGCATTTGACCTGCCGTGGGTGTAGTCAGGCTGCTGTTGATGATAATGAGTTGGCTTTACCCATTTTCTGTGGCACATACCTGGTTACGATCATAGTTTTGTGATAGGCTGCACAAATTTCTTCAGCACACATCTGTTTGTTGGCCTAATTATTGCCTTGGATAGATGAAAGAATTTATTAGTGTCCCATAGGTTGGTGCTTGTATCCTAGCCTGAAGCGGGCTGCTCGTTGGGACCGAAAAACCTAGCCTTTCATCCGCTTCACGGGCCCGTTGTACTGCCCATACCGCTGTCTTCTTCATTTTTGTTGGTGCGTTGGTGAGTTGCTGGATTGAACCAGTTACTGCCGTTTATGATAGCCTTTTTTGCGCGGCGTGAACAAGGAGCGATTTGCAAAGCAGCTTCTCTGTTGAAAAAAAAAGAAAAAACCTAGGACACTTCAGCTTTGCCTTGAAGTGTAGGACGAAATTGCGTAAAAATGTCAGCGAAAATGCTGGAGGCTCGTGTGCTTGTATTGGTGCACGTTAAAAAACCCTATTGGTTGAAATTTCGGGAGCGCTCCACTTACGGCGTCTCTCATGATCATATCATACGGTTTTGGAATGTTAAACCCGAGTAATTATTATATTGACGATTTCGTAATCAGGCACCAATGCGCATCCTCTTCTAAGTTGCTAGCCTCGTTTCTTTCCTCAGTGGACGCGTTCACAGAGTCGCAAAGAGACGTGTGTGTGTGCATCACATTGGCTGTTTCAAGCTATCATATAATTTTTGAGGCTGATGATGACAATTATGACTAAATACGCCTGAGCGCTCTTATTGGGCGGGTCTTTCAAATGACCACTCTTTGCGCAATTCCCGTGTTTTGACGGCTTGCGTAATTTTAGGCTTCCGCCACACCATATTACGTGCGTAAAGAAGAACCCCCCTACTGTATGACAATCAGACAGTTTTTTTCTTCTTTTTTAGAAACAGTTTCATGCGGTCACGTCGGTCTGTGGGAGAACACTTGCTTAACACTCGGAGAGCCCGGGTGTAATTCTTACTCGAAGCAAAAATTTTATTATTTAAGCTTCATTTGTCGCCGAGTTCTCGCTCACAACCAATGATGCCCCACCGACACCAGAATTTATGCGAAAAGATCTTTATAGTTCTATCACGTCAAAACACGTTTTCATACTTTATAGGCGTATTGTGTGCCGCTCACATACACAGGGAGCTCTCTACGTAGCACCATTATGTGCTCAAGCTCTTTGTCGCAATAAAGGTTTTGTGTTTTGTTTCCTTTAGTTGACCGCTGGTTAAGTACTGTCAGAACGAAAATGCCGTCGGCAGTCTCTGGGGCCATCTTCGCAGCAAGCAAACAAAATTCAGCGTTTTGCACTTGTTTTATAAGAACAGTCCGAGTACGCACGTTATTCGTCAACGTAATGACTTTCGTGTCGTATTAAAAGACTCGGCAAGCTTAAAATAATATTGCAAACTGCAGCACGTATGGTCTCTCAAAACATTATCAACATCAACGCCTTCGAACAACATAAAGTATAGGAATGCGTGCAGGGTACCTAACATATTTCGACGAGGGTCTTTCGCTGACTTGCGTGAGAGAAACGAAGACATAAAGAAGTTCGGTGGCTCAAGCTTGTCTAAATCAATATCATTTAGCAGATTGCAGAGCGTCTCTAGCGATGTCAACGAAGTTCTCTGGGTAAACATGGTGTGCTGTAGCGCTTCTGGCAACATACGGCACTAGTGTCGAGTACGCCGTTCGATGTGAACCGAGCAGTCAATGTAACTAGCGTAAATAATGACAGATAGTAAGTCAGAGTTATAAACGGAAACAATAGTATCCAATTGAGGTGGCGATGACATAAAAAAAGCACTATTCCATAATGAGACAGCGCAAGGTTTCATCATATTGAGAGTGTCTGCGTGGTCCTCTGGATTTGGCTTAGCGGTACTTGAGCTAGCATTGGAAAATACGTGAAAATACTAGCTTGGCTATACAAATGAGTTTTTGCTTGCATGGGAACATATATTTGGGTATCCAGCCAAGAGGAGAGCGACGGGAAAGAGAGAGCAAAGGAAGGAAGAGTGGTTAGCAAGTCCTTAGACCAAATGCCTATTTGTTGCTGGGAGAAGGTGTTTAAGGGAATGAGGCAGTACATGACGGAAACGCTAGACAAACAAAAAAAAAACAAAAAGGAAAATTAACGCAGCTAGCGCTAAGTCATGCGAAACTTGGTCACAACAAAGGTGGTGGACATTTAGACGGTCCCGGCTTCGCAGGACTTTTACCCTCTCGCCTCTCTCCCACCTCTTAATATGCTGTAGTGTACATGACTATGTTTACCATTTTTCTTGCTTTTTTTCCATTTATTTTTGCTTCTTTCTTTTTCTATCAATCTATTTCTTTGTTTCATTTTTTTCTCTTTCTTTCCAGCTCTACTCCCTTTTTTTTTCTTTAGAACTCTCTCTTCGTCTTTTTTACCATTCTATACTCTCTCCTTTCTTCCTCTTCCTCCACCTCACCCTCACATCTCTCCTCCTCAGCATCAAATGCATTTCTCACCCTCTCGCTATGCTATATTGTACAAAGCTAGGCTGTGCTTCGTGTGCCTGCATAGTCGAGTGGATAAGACGCTCGCCTTCTGATAGAGTGTATGCAGGTTCGAATCTAGCCCCACGAAGTATTCTTCCTTCTAACAATTTCTCTTTTTTTCTTTGCGTCTCGTTATCTCACCAATCGGGATTATTGCACAGTACGCCGAAAACCGTTCTCGTTCACCTTATCAATGTGGTTAATACACACTGTGTTGTGTTGGCGAAAAATTACGTGGTGCCGTAATAGTGTATACAAAATTAAGAATAAGCTCAAGAAGGCTCTCAGGTTCCAGGTAACACCACTTTTCTTTATTATCATTAGCCAAATGACATGTAGCAGATGTGCGCAGTCCAGCTAGCTCCATATTCAGCTGTGGCAGTGCACGGAGCAATAATACGGGCTCGTTCGCGAAAATCTGGTCCCTGACTCCATCGCGGGTGTAGCCCTCGGTGGGTTCTTAGGAACCTTCTTCCCAGGACGCAAATAATGTTTATCTGTCCGTCTGTCTGTCTGTCTGTCTGTCTGTCTGTCTGTCTGTCTGTCTGTCTGTCTGTCTGTCTGTCTGTCTGTCTGTCTGTCTGTCTGTCTGTCTGTCTGTCTGTCTGTCTGTCTGTCTGTCTGTGTCTGTCTGTCTGTCTGTCTGTCTGTCTGTCTCTGTCTGTCTGTCTGTCTGTCTGTCTATGTCTGTCTGTCTGTCTGTCTGTCTCTGTCTGTCTCTGCCTGTCTCTGTCTGTCTGTCTGTCTGTCTGTCTGTCTGTCTGTCTGTCTACGTCTGTCTGTCTGTCTGTCTGTCTGTCTGTCTGTCTGTCTGTCTGTCTGTCTCTGTCTGTCTGTCTCTGTCTGTCTGTCCGTTTGTTGACCATCTCAAACCGAATAAACGTATCAACGAGATCGTGAGCGAGATGCAGACAACACGTATCTTAGTTATCGTCTTCACGATGTCCTGCCTTCTGCGCTTCTTGTAAGCATATCAGTACTAAACGAACAAGGTCATATCAGTTCACCTCTGCGGTGTTCTGGAACAGGGATTTACTACATCATATGCGATAGCTTTCGAGGACACCCGCTGATGAACGTATTTGCTAAACTTCATTTGCAATGCCATTCAGCTTGAGAGATGGGCAAGTTGGTGAACATTCGTGTTTAAAGAAACAGCTTTTTAAGCGCGAAAAAACAAGGACAGAAGAATTGATAATTTCACAACACAGAGAATTTTGAATGACAGTGACAGCATAGCATTTTAAAGTGGAATAATTGGAAGCGCGAACCAACGGGACACAAGAGAAAAGACAAACAAGCGCAGACTG